AATTAAATGAATCTGCATGTGAGTGTGTGTGTAACTGGCCTGTTGGCCTGTCCAGAATGGCGCTTAATTAGGCCAACTCGGCTCCCACATCCACCCGCATACCCCACCCCTTCCAGAGCCACCGCCACCGCCTGGTCATTTTCCTGAAACTTTATGTTTGTGCCCACCTAATGGGGTTCCGGGACTGCCAGTCAGCCCTGCTCGAGTTAATCGGGTTAACCAATCCCAAAAGCAATGTTAAACAGCTGTAATTGGGTGTTACCTCCATACTGGAGGCAGAGCTTTGGAAAGCTGGAGCTGTGGAGGATGCTACACAGCAAAGATCGTAAATTCTATTAGCTGTGCTTGCATTGGCATGGATGTTTGGGTTGGACAAGGCCATAAGTGGTGCTAGAGGCGGATTATGCATAGAAAATATACATAGAACGATAACAGATGAAACGGGGGATACCTATATGTGGACTGTATGTGCAAGACAGTTTTAATATAGATGTTTATGTACCTAAAATATATATATGATTATTAAAATATATTTTTTTCTTTAATTAATTTTATCCAAATATTCACAGAAAAATGATAACATTTTATACATAAATAATTATGTGACATATTTTTTGTTTAATATATTTCCGACATGAAAACTTTCAAATTAAACTTCATGTTCACCATTTTTACATTACATCTTTAAAATATTTATTCAAGGTTTTCTCGTAGGCAAAATCTCTAATCAAATTGAAACAAAAATCGTACTATATTCTGCAGCATAATCCCAGTGAAATGTTAAGCGCCGCAACATTTGGTTTTAATTCCTACAGTTTCCAAACGATATAATCCATGTATCATCTCTCATGCCACTAGTCCGATTAGATACGAAGCCCGGCCCGCCCCTCATACGAAGTCGGGGAGTCGAGAGCCGGGCGCCGGGCGCCGGACTGGGTTTGGCCTTTTTCAACTTTGCACTCGAATGAATACGAAATTCACGCGAAATTCCCTGACAGTACCCGCCACGACAGCGACACAACGATAAAGTTGCCCCATGCCACACTCCCATACCAGCAGCCCACTCAGCCCCCAATCCCCCATTTTGAATTATTATGTTATTGTTGTTGCTGCTTTGGATGTTGGATAAAGATGGGTGGGGTGGGGATTGGGGAGAGCTAACTCGACCCAAAAAGTTCCACCAATCATTGCTCAACCATTAGAGTAGAAATTTAAAATTTATTGCTCCAACAATGCGACAGCACACAATGGCATTAACAAAGTAATATTTCAGGGACCTTTAAATGATTTCAATTACTACTATTTGCCCGAAGTGAGTGACGAGAGGCAGCAGGGGCATCGGAAACAGGCAACAGAAACCGAAACAGGCAACAGAAACCCTAAAACCAAAATCAGTTTATGTGGTTAAGTGAACAGTTACACTAATTACCGCACAACAACAATTGCTGTAGCTCTCATTTGTTGCTGTTGTGATTGTTTTAGCTGTCGGTTGTTTTTGTTTTTTTATAAACTTTTGTGTGCAAATAGTTTTTAATTACATAGATATGCAGGCAGCAAGTGAAAAACAATCAAGCAAGTCTAACGAGGAAATAGAGTTAAGGGCTCGAACTGGGGATACCCTGCAAGGGATCCTTGGTATCCCTTCAACATATCTATCTACATACTCGTAGTATGTACCACTGGGTCTTGTAAAACTTTTCAGATTTCCCAGAATCGGATTAACTCCATGCACTTTAGGATGAACTGATGTGCAGATGTGCATCAGGGGTTTATGTGGTCAACCCCATTGTTAGGAATTTGCGAGAAGCAAGACTTCGCCTCAACCTCAGCCCAGTCGGGAGGAGAGCCAATGAAAAACGTATGCTAATAAGTAAAACTAGTGAACAATTAAGCCACAAACTAGTCAGACGTTAATAGTCCTGCTAGAACTGCATTGCGGTGAACGGAACCAAGCCCAAGCCCATGTCCATGGCCCACAATCCTACTCAAACTTTGGTCGAATCTCATTTATGCAGTGGAGCATGGCTTTCGCATCTGGCCACAATGAGTGGTGGAACTTTGCATTAAAGTGGAAGTTATTTAAAGCCCACAACATCGGCTACTCAGTTAGGACATTCGCCTTCGCCTTCGGGCAGTGGAGCAGCAGGACCAACAGCAGGACGAGCAGAAAAAGCAAAATGGGCAGCAGGAGCACCACTTTCTGTTCGTGCTGAAAGTGGAAAATGGAAAACTATTTCAGCGAATTGTTCTCAAGCGAAACATTTAATAAAAATGTAAGCTTGAGAGGAAATTCTGCTGAAGCTCTGCTCTTTCTCTGCCTCTCCCTTCTCACTTCCTCCTTCTGTATGGGTGTGTGTGTGAGCATTTGGCATAATATTATTTACATAATAAATACTTAGTTGTTATTTGTTATGCTGCGCGTAAATTTGCAGCCGGAGGCGAGACACCAGAACGAGAAACCAGAGAAACGAAACCCCCCAAAAGGAGGCTGAACCTATGTAGCTGTAGCTTTGGGGGGTAGGAGTTTTAGGGGTGAAGCCAGGGCTGGGCCATGGCTCGGCTGTGCAGGCCGGAGGAGGAGCTTCCACGGAGGGTGTCCTAAGCCACCACAGAATATATAATGTGGTAGGCGTTGGGAGGGACTGTAATTTCAGGCCCATCTGCGGGATTTTATGCTCTAATAAAATTGCAATGTGGCCGCTAGCCGGCGGCTTGATTGGGTCAGGATAAGGACTAGGCCTAGGGACAGCAGTCACAGTAAAAGGACTCTTTAATCTCGTCCAACTGAAAAACTCTAATTGAACAAATTGGATTTCAAATTTCGAAGACCGCTGTCGTCAGATGTACAACACACAAATTTAAGTTCGTTAGGCAACTCCCACCTGGGCTCTCCATCACCAGTGCTTCTTGTACTGCTCGAGGGAGACCTCGCCGGGGCCCAGGACCACGACCATCAGCAGACCCCCCACCACGGACAGGGTGTGGAAGCAGTTGTACTTCAGATAGTCCCGCTCCAGCCCCTCGGCAAACCACCAGGAATTGACGCTCATGTTCCAAATGCTCAGGATTATGGCCAGAAGAAGGGCCGCCGGCCTCGTGCGATAGCCCAACAGGATGAGGGTCATCAGGAGCAGACCAAAGCTGTTGAGGACCACGGCGGCGAGGCCGAAGTACTGCTGAAGCACTGTCAGATACATGAGGGCCAGCAGGATCCGTCCCGTGAGCTGCATCAGGTGCTGCGATCGCCTGGGCTCCTCCAGCAGCGGAAGGCCTGCGCGCGCTCCATAGATCCGACAGGAGGAGGCCGCCTCGTCATTGGCCTCCACCAGTAGCAGAAGCAGTCCGCCAAGCAGGGAGAAGTTTCGCAACATCTGCTCCAGTTGCAGGGGCACAGAGTAGACGTGCAACTGGAAGAGCACCAGGCCGACCAGCAGTGCCACGGCCATATTGGTCCACACTCGGAACAAGACCAGACCGCAGCCCACCAGCTGACCCAACAGATTGACCTGGCCGCTCAGGAAGGCCCCGCCCCAGGAGAAATTCAAGTGGATCTGGAGGAAGGAGATCTGGTCCTCCCACTGGCACCACATGCGCAGGGCGTCCTCGAAGAAGGTGGCCACCAGACAGAGGCGCGCCACTGTGGGCAGCACGAGGCGACTCCGCCGGACGACCTCATCGCCCATATCCTCCGCCCGGGTCAGCCAGTCTGTCCACATTTTGGTCACTTCCATGTCGGAGCTACTCGGAGAAGGAAGTCCGTTTCTGGTTGCGGAAGTGGTGATATATACAAAAATGAACAATGAGTTTTCTTCCAGTGTATAGTGTCAGTGATTGCCTAATTTCAAAAAGACTACTGGTTTCCTTTTGACCTAAAAAGTGTCTGTTTCCCCGTTCCGCTTCTCAACCCCGATTTCACGATGAAATAATTTCATGGCTCGCCAAATTCGAGTTTTCATAATTTTCCCATCGGTAATTACGCCAAAGCCCCACAATGCGAGTAACAGCTGCTGTGACAAAATATAAATTCACACAAAATTATCCACCATCAATTGCGAGATTGTTCTCGCACCGAAAAAAAGGAACACTTGACCCAAAACACAACCGAAACGAATGCCCTAAGCAAATAAATTTGCATTTTCCCCGTTTCCCCATGACGAATTGAAAATTTATACATTTTCCAAATATATATTTCACAATTTGTCAATTAATACAGAAAGGCTTTGGCTAATACGCCGAATTGTATAGATAGAAAAACATTTGTCGCTAGTTGGAATGCCATTAGGATGATTAGGGTGCTGCCGGGGATGCCAGACCGGGGTAGGGTTAGGGGTAGGGTTACTACCTTTAGGTAAGAACATCCCTATTATTCATCTCCCTATTATTATTAGATTTGTTTAAGACTTTAAGCTTCACACTATAATTATTTAAATATTTTGAAGTTATTTCTAAGAAGTACATAGTATGTCTTTGTGGGCTTCTCAAATATTTCTAAGTGACGAATCAGTTACAAATTTAATCTTAATCTTTCATACAATATATATACAAATTAAGAGAGGCAAAATGTATAGAATTAAATAACTTCAATGGTTCGTATTTGCCAGGAAAATCCAGGTTTAATGAACGAATATTTTTGATAAAATCCAAACTCGATATATTATTCTCCATCGACAAAACAATCAATTGAGTTAACCTCATTTCTTCTTCGTGCAACCACAATGTCCGCTAATATTATCTTTAAGGTATCTAATATATTTTTAAGTTCAACTTAATACCATTTACAGGGTAAACAAATAGTTTCGATGTTGCAAAATAATTGCCATCCCCACGGGAATACCCCTAGCCCATTTGCCAATCTAAGTAAAAACTTTCGCCAGCCCCTGTTTGACAGCTGTGCGCTTTTCCTGTCAGTTGGCAGGCCTGAAACCATTATTCGACAGGAGAAACTTCGATAAGATTGCCCGCCCAACTGATGCCTGTTTCATTCTTGACCTATTTTGCAGCGCTGGCAGCGAGTGCGGCGCCCATGGGCGAGAACGCATCGCTAATTGCACCAACAACAGCCTCCCCAACAATCACAATGGCCACAGCGGTGGCAGTGTCAGGAGTGGAAGGAACTGCCATGCGGCTGCGAGGCGGCACCTCAGTGGAGCAGCAGCAGCAGCTGCAACAGGATCAGCAGCAGCAGCAGCAGCAAACTGGGGACATCTGGAGCGAGAGGCCCGACACAGCAACGCTGACAAAGGGCTTTTCAATACCCACGTATCTGCCGCCCTTTCCGGACTTCATTCCTGCCGATTTGCCGCAGATTCAAAGGAACGCCACTGCGTGGTCGAGAAGTCCGACGGATGGCAGACTGATGCCATCTAATGAGCATCCACCGCAATCGCAATCCCCGGCCCAAGGACAGTCGCAGTCGCAGTCACAGTCACAGTCCCAATCCCAGTCGCAACCACGACTCCATGCCTACGACAGCGAACAAAAGGAGCTGCAGCTGAGGCGTGAAAAGGAGCTGGCCAAGGAGCGGGAGCTGCTGCCACGTCGCCCGCTCAGCCTGCCTCCGATGAATGCCAGCGTGCAAGCCGGCCAGCATGCCTATCTGCCCTGCAAGGTGAGTGCGGAATAAGGAGGGGTTTCCCAGAATGGGCTGCCGCTGGGCTGCCAGTTGAGTGGCGTAATTGAAAGCTTCCACTGAATAGAGCCCGGCTCGCTAAGCACCTTCTGTTTTGCTCCTCTGCCACTCTCTCTGTCTCTGCCTCTGTCTTTGCCTTGCAGCTCAACCAGCACTCAAATAAGCCCCTCTCCTGGGTGCGCTTGCGAGACGAACATATCATTGCGGTGGATCACACAACCTTCATCAACGATGCCCGCTTCGCATCGCTGCTCCAGTCAACGACATCGCCGGCCCCGGACCCATCCATGACAACCACCCCCACTGCCATCATGGTTATCCCTGCGAATGCCTCCAGCCCGGAGGATAGGGGCAACGGGAGCAGCCTGAGCTGGACGCTGCAAATCAAATACGTGCGGCTCGAGGATGCCGGCTGGTACGAGTGCCAGCTGGCCACCGAGCCCAAAATGAGCGCCAAGGTGCAGCTGTTTGTGATAAGTAAGTGCAACGTGTGTCTGCGTTCGAATTGCCCCAAGCCATCCCCATGGTCCGTCAGCAGCTCAGAGCAAACTAGTGCTTCAATCAAATGCCAAACACACGAAATTAGCTGACATGACTGCGGTTGAAATAGCATTATGCTCCTCTGAAGCACCCTTGCAATCATTCAAAATCTCGACTTTAATCTTTGTCTACTCCACTGCTCCTAACTAAATCCCTTTCATCGGTACCACAGCACCCAGAACCGAGCTAATTGGCGATCGGCAGCGCTTTGTGAAGGCGGGCAGCAAGGTGGAGCTCCACTGCATTGTCCGTGGCACTCTGGAGGCCCCTAAGTACATATTCTGGTATCGCGGGGAGCAGCAAGTGACGGCCGAGAACGAGGCCAGCGGTGCCCAGAGCGGCTGGTACACGCAAATCGATAGGAATATCTTTGGCAGCACCGAGCACAAGCGGAATACGGTAAGGGGATTGCGTGAGGGGCGAACAGGGCGCTTTGAGCTCTTTCCAAAGAGGATTTCAATGATGAGGATAATCGGTTTTGCAGATTGGTTCGTTGGTCATTCCGCTGGTGCGCAAGATCCACTCCGGCAATTATACCTGCGAGCCGGAGAACAGTGCAGCGGTGTCCATGCAGCTGCACGTGCTTAGCGGTAAGTGGGATTACTTAGCATAATTCGAAAGTACATACATAACACCCCCATTATGTGCCATTTCAGGGGAATACTCCGCCTCGGCCATCAAGTCGGCGGCTGCCGGCCTCCACAGACTTGGCCACGGCTACAGCAGTCTTCACCAGTGGCTAATCTTCCTCCTGGTGGCATTGAACAAGACATGAGTTCACCCCGCACTAGAACACCTCTGGGCATCGTCTAGTCGGAGTCCTTCGTCTAAGACATTAGTTTAATTTTTAGGTAAATTTCACACGCGATTTCATTGTTTGTTAGGCGGACACTTCTTAAGGTCTAAGCTCCATTTTCCCCAATACGAAACAAGTTTTTTATACAAATTCTAGACATAATACTGTTTTCCTTTGCTATAGCTGATAGGTCTAGGTCTGGCTAAGCATTATACTAAGCATCTACATACATAATTCTGAGTAACGAAATCCAATATTTGCGTAAATAAAGCCTAAGGCGTCTTAAGTAAAGGTATGTCTATCTAAAAAGCTGCGTGGTTTTTCTGTATTACATCCGTCTTTCCCTGAAAATTTTCTGCTACCGAATGGACTGGTCTTCTCTAGACTTTCCCAAATATTCCCAATAATATTTGCATCTTAAATCATGTTGATATTGTGTTTTTCTTCAACAACTTTGCATACAAACCCAGTGACTCTAAATGGTTTTCATCCTCTTAAGTTCTGTCTGCAGCTGACTCCTTCCATCTCACCTTAAGCTCTCTCCAATTAACAGCTGCAGCTTATGCAATCTCGAAGTTTGCTCCTAGTGCTTTTACCCCTTCGTCGCCGTTTCGTTCCGTTTCTTAACCCCAATCCTTACTCATTAAAATGCAGCCCATCCTCGTCTACATCTACATCCACCCACATTCCCTGGCCAAGTGCTCTTCATTTCTCTTGAGCAAATTATCTGTATATTTTCAAATGCAAATAAAGAAATCTGTCAGAACTCCTGACGGGCAGGCTGGTTGGTGGGGTAAGGAAGTCTCTAAGCTGAACCAAAACGGAGGAAACGAAGGGTAAATGGAAATGGGAAAAACTAGTATTGCTAAGGCCTTTGTTTCGTCTTTGTGGCTTTGTGGTCCGGTGGATCTGTGGCTGGGGGGCTTTTGTTTTATGGCCTGGCCAACTATAATTTTGCACGATTCCTCTGATTGCCCGCGCACTTTACGCTGCTCATTTATCAACCCGGCACTGACCAAAGCCGCAGCCGCAGCCGTAGCCATAGCCACATCCACAGCCGTAGCCGTGAACCAAAGATGTGGCAAAAGTTTTATGGCCAAGTTTAAATTTCCTTTCAGCAGAAGTTGGCCCACATTTTCATCTTTCCCTTCATGGTTACACACACACACACACCTTGGCCTTTTCCAGCAGCCACTCAACAGACAATTTACAGCTGGACAGATGGCCAGCGAAAGAGAAAGGAAGCTGCTAGCCGCTAGCCGCTACCCAAGAGAGATGGCCAAAGGAAGCTGCCGCCTGGGCGCTGGCCTAATCACTTTTTGATTTATTTGGTATAGTCGCGTTCTGAAAGTTTTCCCCACAGTTCATATTTTTCTTGTGGCTTTGGTTGCGGCTTGTCCGCAGTTTTCGCGCAGTTTTCCCTGTTGCTTTCCAACCAGCAGCAGCTGGAGACCCAGCTGGAGGATATTGACGGGATTATCTCCCTTGAATATTGAAAAATTCCGAGACTTGCAATCTGAATGCCATCCCCCAGGCCACTGTCAACAATTCGGTGAAGTTTTCGTCCCCTGCCATCTGATTATGGGTCGAACAGCCTCCTGCAGCTTGTGGCGGATGGGGCGCATCAAAGAGATTGGCGCATTTTAATAATTCAAAGGGCAAACTGCTGAAAAATACATTCGGCCCGAAAGACATTCCACGCGGCAGCGCTTTAAGGCGGCCCACGCTTGTCTCCAGGCCATAAACAGGTTGGTTGGTCCTCGTTGGTTCCCGGCTCCTGGTTGCGCTCCTCCTGTTCCAGATTGTTCCTGGTGCCGGTGCTGATGCCGGTGCCGATGCCGGTGCCGGTTAAAGTTTGTCGGTTGACTTTTAAATTACGTTGTGGGTGTCCCCCTCTGGTTCTGGGGCGGCAATGAAACTTGGCCTGCAACTTTCGAGCCTCCCCCCCCCCTGAAGCAAAGTGCGTGCAAAGGTGTCCCCGAACCGGAAGGAGAAGTGGGAGAGCTGGAGGGAATGAATATCTTGAAGCCAGGACAACGTTTTAAGTGGCTGCCGGAGCATGAGGGAGAGGCCAGCAATTGTCGGTGGATACTCTTGTCATAGCATCAATTGAAGCAATGTAATAAGTTTTCGGGGGTGCCGGAAAATTGGCATATAATTTGGCCAAATATTTGCGCATTCAAAGCGAAAACTTTCGCCGGTAGCCGCCGGGTCTCACTTTCAACCATTTTGTTCCAGTGCAAACATAAATCACTAAAGGCATACTTGAACTTTTTGTGCGAAATTATTTGCCCTTACCAAACTTTGATTTAAATTTTTAAGGTGCTCAGCGCAGGCAGAGCAGCGGCCGGAAAAATAGCGGTGGGGGCCAATAACTTGTCAGCCGGTTGAGTTGCCACTTGCCAGCCTCATGAAAAATGTATTTGGGTAGGTCAATTCCCTAACCTGTTGATGCCCGGGAACAGTTGGGTCGCTCGCGCATGACTGTTCCCGGGCGTTTGAATTTAGTGGCGGCGCCAAGTGCGCGAGTGTTCCCATCGAACAGCTGATTCAAAAGAAGAAGCAAGCAGGTTTCCAGAAACTTATAAACTATTACTTACAAGAAAATGTATGCAAAGGAAAAAAAATAAATAATAAAAGGTGCTTTGACATCATTTAATTGTCTGAATAATTTCCAGGGAAAATAATAAACTTCCACCAATTCTATTGCAGACAATAAAAACCTCATCTCAAATCGTTTTTTATATAATTAACTTTTTATTTAGCATAAATATGCACAATATGTTGCTGAATTGTTTGCAATTTGATATATAATATATATAATTTTAATATGTAAAACTAAACGCGCTTAATGTTGGAACTAAACGACAGACAATCTTCGTATATCTTTTTACAGAATTATACATACAATAATTGCAGATTTTTTGTTGGTTTTTGTTGAATTTCGTTCAATATTTCTTTAAAAAATAGTTTCGCTTATTAAAAAATAAATCGCGTCTTAGATATATTACAATTTAGGGGTTGCTTTTGATATATTTAAATATAATGTATATAATTTTAAGTGTAATTTTTGCTTGGTTCTATATATTTGAAATACTTGGAATGCACAAAAATAATTTGTTGCCCTTGTGGTCTGGTCTCTTGTTTTCGAATTAATGTTTAAGCTATAACAAAGAATCCAATCCCATGCACAGGATACATCCTACATGTACGATATTTAGGTGTGCATTTTTCGTTTCGTTTTTCTTATTTTTTGTTTTTAAAGCCATTAGGTTCTTGTGTAGTGATTTAAATTGGTACTTTTGTTGCATTTCAAAGGTGTACGAAATGCTTTTTCAATTAAAAATATACTCGTATCTGTGAATATTTAAACATTTCGTTAGTTCTACAATCTTTAATCGTTTGCTCGTGGTGTTTTTGTTAGTTTTGTTTTTGTTTTTTGTAAATATATATATATATTTAGTTTTAATAATTGAATAATTGGACCATTTGTTTAAACGTTGTTGTGGCTTAAAATTCTCTATTAGATTTAGTATATATAAACGTTTCTTGTTCCGCACGATTCCCAGGTAAATACATACACACACATATGCATCGTATATCTAAACTATCGTAACTCCCATCATTTACACTGTCTAACCATAAATTGTATTCTGTAATCCGATGTAACAATCTGTTAATTGTAGGGTATTTTTGTTAAGGTTAATGTTAATGTTTAAAACGCTTTACAAATGTGGCTCGCCTCGACTCGACTCGCCTCGCTTTCGTTGCCCTTTTCCTGGGCTCGTTACTGTTTCTACATAGATATATTTATATAGTTTCGTATATATAAACAAGGGTATTTATATAGAGTACTATATGTAATGATATACACTGATAATTCTCACTAATTGAATCCAGTTAACATTCTGTGGTATGTAATCAACTCTGGAACTACGCGATAACTATGGATTGTTTATTGCCTTGCTTAGCAAATTCGTTAGGTTTGTTTCTGGTTTTTCGTAATCTAATATATAACTCGATCTAAATGTATATGTATATATGTATATTTCTATGTGTTGTTCTATGTAGAGCTAACGTAACAACTTGGCCCCCAATTAATTGAAGTTTCAGAAGCTTTGTGGATTCGGGTTTCTGTATGTACATGATCTCTATTCGTTCTGCTGCTCTTCCTTTTCCTTCTGTTGCTGCTGCTGCTCAGTGCACTGCATCGATGTCTCGCTGGGCTCGCGATATCTTCAGCTTATCCTTGGGCGTGTTGTCCTCCCCCGACTCGAGGGCGAACATCTTCATCTTCTCCTTGAAGGAGAGCTTCTCGGGAACGGCATCGCCAGCGCGTTGCTGCTGCTGTTGCTGTTGCTTTTCCGCCAAGCGACGCGTACGCGGATCTCTGCAAAGGAAAAAGGATTCTGTCAGAGATCTCTATTGAGTTTGTTCAAGACTCCACACACCTGTACACCTCTTGCGCGCCTATAACGCCGGGCGTTGATTGCACTGAGGTGTTCCAGAGGGCCGCATCAGGCGTGGCCGGCATGGAGGGCAGCATGGAGGCATCCAGATTATGCTGCAGATACTATACAAAAATATTCGTTAGCTGTACTTTCTGTCTGATCTTTCTGTCGTCCACTTACACTAGCATCTTCTCTGATTGTGTCCAAATCCTGATGCTCCATGCCATAGTTCTCTATGATGTATTGCTGCTGCAGCTGTTGTTGCTGCTGCTGCTGGCTGTTCCCGCTCACGAAATTGTTCTCCTCGTCGTGGAAGCTCACCCGCTTGTTGTCCCGCTGCAACAGTGGTGGTGGTGGGGGCGGTGAGCCCAATCCTCCCACCATTCCCGTTCCCGTGGCAGATACATACGCGGCATTCAGCTCCATGGCACTGAGGGGCGATGCCTGCATGCTGCTGGTGCTGTTGTTGTTCAGATTTCCGCTCAAGCTGTTGTTGTTGTTGTTATTATTCGATTGGGTGTTCAGTAGGGATGCCTTCTTAATCTCGACGGCGGCCGCTGCCTGATTGCTGGTCGCTGTCTTCAGCAATCCCATGGAGGAGCTGGTGCTGCCCCTGAGTTTCTGCTGCGACATGATCAGGTAGGAGCTGTTCCGCTCTGGCGGCGGCGGCGGAGGCACTGCCGCGTCCAGGGTCTCGTTATTGTTGTCCTTGTCCAGCATCGTGAGCTGTGTCAGCTCCTTGGCCAGACTGGAGATGGGATGCTCCGTCTGCAGGTGCCGGTCGTCCGCGAAGCT